AGAGATGAGAGAGAGAAAGAGTGGGTGTAGGAGAGAAAGAGAAAGAGAGAGGAAGTGAGTCAGATATCCATCCTTGGCAGGGTCTTGCCAAGACCCTTTTTCTTGCCATAGGGCAGGCGCCACCACGCCCCTAGACCCTTTTTCTTTAGCCATCCAGCTAGTCAGCTAGTCAGCATCTTGGATAGACACTCAGCATGTTTCAGGTCAATTTGGGATCTAAACCACTATGTGCTGTGTGGTTTCCATCACCGCAGTTCAGTACATTATTGCCTGTGCCACCAAGGCTGAACCCAAATAAATAGTTTTTATTTTCTTCTTGAAGATGTCCACAACTAGAAATGTACAATCCTCCGTGATAACTCATTCAGCCTTTGATCCCTGAACACTACACCTAATGTTACTTTCCTCTTCCTCTGATAACTGTATTGCATGTTGCATTTTGTGTGTGGAACTTGTTAAGGTTCAAAATTGTGTTATTTATTGCTTATGTTTTTGTTGTCAATCTTCTATGATAGATGTAAGTTTTATTTTGTCTTACTCATTTCGTTCATAGTAGTTGACCTCCACCCCCTTAATAAGTACTCACTAAAAAGGCAGTAAATTGATAGAAGGAAGTTAAGAGGTTAGAATGTTAGGAAATAAGGAACAAAGATCAAAATGTTCTACCTTCTGTCTAGCTGAAGTACTTTCTGCTTTCAATTAAGCCTATTTCCTGTTGTTCAGTCTTTGACAGATAAGGGTAGCAATGATATCATGGTCTCCAACTAAAATCCCTTTGCTTCCTTGAAAATGACTATCTAGGACAGTGGGTAATGAACTGTACTGTATACTTGATTCCTTTTAGAAGAAACAAAGAAAAATATATAAATAAAATAAAGCTTGCATCGATGACAATGATGATGAAGATCTATGAGGTATATGAGTTATCAGTTACCAAAAAGTATGTAATCTTACTGCTTAAAAGAGACTATTTATAATCGGCAGCAAGCTTAAATACAATTTTAAAAATAATAGAGGAAAAGTCATGACATGAAGAAAATGTTTCAAAGGGAAAATCTGACAGAGAATACACAGTGGTGGTAGAGAGTAGCTAAGTAGGATATAAGTTCCAGGCAGCATTCCAGTTACCTGAACTGTCGTGGACATTCATCCTTACGCTCCCCAGTTCTTAGCTATCTAAATTCCACATTTTAGCATTGTAGAGTGAATAGTTGTATGAGACCTGGACTTTTTCAAAATGATATTTGATAGGGTAATGGAGTTTATTGCAAAAACACATTTACTTAGACTATTCCCATCCAAGCAATAAGTGGAAATTTTCTCCCTACAACGTATGTGTTTATTGGTGAGTAAGGAGTGAGTCCAAAAAAGATTATGGATGAAAGAACATGACAAAGTTCAACCATCTGAAGCAGAAATAAAAATCATAAATCTGACCAATGAAGTTTTCTTATTGACTACCAAGAGGTACATTCTCCTTTTTGCTTTGCTACATATTTTCATTGTTCAGACAGCAATATGAACATTTTGGAATGCTTTCCTAAGGATACATTTGAGAGATTGTACTGTTGGTCTTTTATGTATTATATTTATTTGATAAGAAAAATTATCTGTAAAAACAGATATGGGGAAAATGAAGCATATTTTAATATTAAAATGGACAGGAACCTTTTTTCTTTGTATAAAGTTGCTGACAATTTTATTTATGAGATCAGGGAGGTAACAAAAAGGAAAATTTTCTTTTAGAAAAATGTTCAAGGCATAACATATGGGTATTTAAATAAATTTTTAAAAATCCCTAAAAATATGTAGTCACCATTTTTGGAGGGAGAAGTCATAATATTGCATATAGAAGACTTGTAAATATTTGATGAGGTTGAATGTAATACCCAAATGACATGTTCAAAGCTTAAGAGGAAGGATGTGATAGAGCAGAATCATGGCAGGTTGGATTTAAGAATACTGGGGCGGTCGCGTACTGAAAAGATGTCAGTATAGGTGGTGTGGATGGGAGCCAATGGGCTGTGATTTGGTGGTGCATTAACGAATGGGATAGCGACAAGAAGGAAAATGAAAAGATTTCACAACACTTTCTTCATACATTTCCATGGACAGCTAATGGATGAGAAGTGTAAACTGAATAATTCATTTCATTTACTTTAAGCTTCGAAAGTGATGTCAAGGGTTACAGAACGCTCATTCATTCATGTGCCCTATTTTTTATTGAGTTCTCATGTGTTACAATCTACTGTGCTAGATGCCAAGGATAAAATGGTGACCATTAACTGACTTTCACTTTCTATTTGTACAACGGAGAAGTTTGAGTTTCCCTATTTATTTTGCAAGGTTGGTCTGATTTTAAGTAAGATAGTACAAAAGGTGCAGTAAGCTAATATGTAATAATAATTATAGTACTATTGTTTTGGGAAGTACAATATTAGATTTGAACAGATTTTTTTCTGTACTACATAAAAACATGTTTTGTTATAGAAATACAGAAATAGTACCAGATGGTTGAATGTGGACGTGATTACTATTCCATTAAGAGAAGGAAAAAGAAAGGAAAATTATGAAAGCAAAAAAACTGAGAATGATTTCATTTCTAATTTTGTTTGGTATTCACTCCTTCCCTGTCAGAATCAGGAACATTCTTGAGCTACATCATTTGCCATCAGGTCTAAGTTTTATTGTAATCCCAAACTTCCGTCAGTCATGTATCAACTTTGCAGTTCTTGTTATATCCATTTCTAACTTTTATTAAAACTTAATTAATGTTTTCTTTAAGTAAATGACTTTTTTAATCATAAAATATGGTGAATGCATTTTTAAATGCAAAGTTCATATCATTCCTTTAGAGAGGAAACCAGTACCATTTGCTATAATAGAAGATAGACATAAAATTCAATAAAATTAAAACAATATTATTGAATTTTAAATAGGTGCTGTTGCCTAACCAAAGCTCTGAGCCTCAGGCTGAGGGCCTACTTTTTCTTTGCTAAGAAGGATGATTAGAATGTGCTGAAGAAGTGGTAACAATATGCTAGCATCAGATTGAAAAATTTTGTTTGGCACAATATTCACAAAGATATTGCCAAGGTATGAAAGACTAACTTACTTACTCTATGATGCAATATTATTTAACAGTATCTTGTAAATATCAATATCACATAATGCAAAACCCAAGTATAGCTGTCTGTGTGGTATAACTTTAGGTTTAAACTACAACTCTTTATTTCTCTTATTTTATTTAAACAGGTCAATGAACTCTACCACACCACTACAAAATGTTTTGTAAGAAAAGATTGCTCTACTTGCTGAATTATCAAGTTATTTCTCATGCTTCTAAAGTATTATGACCATTATTTAGAAAGTAGAATTGCTGAAACTTCAATAGGCTAAAGAATTTCAGAACCAAGTATAGCACACTCCCGTTCTGTTGGGGGAGGAGGCAGACCTCTAAATATGCTAGCAATGTCCTGCACGAAAACAGAGGGTAAATTAGTGGGCAGAACAAAATGATCTCTAGGGACTTGCTCTTGAGTTTCCTGACCAGAAGATCACACCCCCTTTCTCAGAGATAAGAAACCTCAAGTCTCAAACCAATGAAACCTAACTTAGAAAATGGCCCCATAGGACTTACCTCCTGTTAGCATGAGGGCACATTTGCACATACAGTTGTCATTATCAGCATCTTTAGTGCTGAAATCAGCGCCGTGTAAGATCAGGCTGCTCTGTTTTCCTGCTGTCCCACTGTGACCCTTTAAATACAACCTGAAGTGAAAAAAGGAAAAATGGATAAGCCGTCTGACAGAATAATAGAAGACCAACTTGTTGAATGTTTGCTTTTATGATCATTTACTTCCTTCTTTGAACTCAGCCCTTCCCACAGACCATCATAGGGCCCAAGTTCTCTGAGCCTAATTTCAAAAGGAGAAAGAGAGATGAAAAAAGAAAGGAAAAGAGAAAAAAAAGCAGGAAAGAAAGACTACAAGCAGGTAAAATTCTCTATGGCTATGTTTATTTCACTCTACATACTTGAACTCATATGGTTCTCTAACCAATGTTGGACCCACAAAAAAATAAATCTATTTTATAGGTATTGATCTCTTAGCAAAAAATGCCTTTTAGAGCATCAGTGTAGCCTGTCACTAGATTACTATCAAATACCAGTAATGTGCTAAACATTGTTAATGGCAGTGTGAGTAATAAATCTCATTGATTGAAGGGTTTCTCTGCTAAACTATTTCTGGCTGTTGCTTAATTCAATTTTCATATTAAATCTCTGATCTAGGCATTAATATCCTCATTTTGCAAAGCAAGGCTTAGAGAAGCTAAGTAAGCTACAATTTAGCTGTGTTTGATTCCAAAACCCAAGTGCTTAATCATTCTGTATTCCCTGCACAAATTTTTGCTGTGCACATATTACATATAAGACATTGTTCTAAGCACTTAAGATATATCAGCCAACAAGGGTCCAGCAGGTGATGTGATGGTTAAAGCATTGGACGTTATCACATGGCCGACCACAGTGTGAGTGAAGAACCTGGTGGCTTACTTTTTCACTTTCCCTCTTTCTCTCTCTTTGTGTCTCTCTCTGATCAATTAAAATAAATTAATGAATAAAATTAAATAAAAATAATTCTAAT